AGGCTTCATGGACTCCACTGAGAGTTTTGCTCCCAATAGAACTGTATATATAAGGGGCTGAAATGAGCTCATCTAATGATATGTACAAAATAGTTATCTATGAAACTTATTAAAACTAGCATTGCTGGGGGGGGAAATGCAGTGGCCTTTTCATTCCTGTTTTACCCAAATTTTAAAACCAATTGCCTAGGAAGGGCAATGGCATTTCTATTCAGACAGTACTGAGATGATTGAATTATAAGTGAATGATGGCTCATACTGGGTTTCTGCTAATCTCTCTTCACTCTACAGGTGTTAACAACCCTCTGTCTTTTCTAATGGTCTCGATGTTCCACTATTCAAGCTTTCCTTTCTTTGGGCCTGGTAATTTCTCTCTTCTATTTCACCCTGCAGAGTGTTTTAGCTCTGGTTAAAAGTCTTAGGTGTGGTAATATTTACTCAAGTGAACATTGACTCAGTGACATTGAAATATTGGAGACACTGTCAAGATACTCAAGACGACTATATTTTTTTTCTTTTATGAATCTGAATAAGACATGTACTACAAGATTCCTGAAACAATATCTTTTCACTGTTTTTGCCTAGTTTGACTTTTTTTAAAATGTAACGTATAATCTAGCAAATTAGAGCACATTCCAGTTCAGTTATATTTATTTTTGCTTGGATCTTAAACTGAATAATATAGTGCTAGGGCTCTAGTAAATTAATAAAGCTTCTAGCTTTTCTTTAATTGTCGAAAAAAGTGTTCTATGTGATGACATGCCACAACATCTGGACCCTTCTTTTCAAAATCCTTGATTTGCCCATGTTGCCATCTTAATAGAATCACTGTAGCATAGCATCCTAACTTCACTTTCCAAGCAGCCAAAGCTTGGTTCACCCTGTAGTATAGGGAGACATTGAGAGGCCTCAATTCCAACATGTGACTGTTTCTACTAGTGTTGGTCCTGTTGGCATAAACACTACTTGGTTTTGTTTCACATAGTCTTGAGGAACAAATAGAAAGTGTTGTTTTGCATTTTCTTCATTATTTAGTTTAGTTTCCATATGAGGAGAGGCAGACTTTGCAGGATGATTCATTATCAGGTTTAACATGGCTTTTTGACTGAATTCCACATTTGTGTAGTCACTCAGGAGGGGTGTCCTGATAGTAGAGCTGGCTCTTTCCTTCTCAGCTGCAGTCTCTTTTTCACTGATTTTTGAAGCATTTGCACTGGTGTCTGGGCTACCTCTAGCCACTTCAAACTGGCTCTTATCAGGCTCACTGTCTTCCTTTGTGCCCTCAAAGGGCTCCAGTTCCCAAGAAGCCTTTGACTCCCATTCTATGACATGAAGACTGGTAGTGTCATTGTCAGATTGTATTTGAAGTAATGATATTGAAATGGGTCCCAGAGTATCCTGCAAAATGACATTGAAAAAAAATCATTTTTTTCTGCATTTGGTAAAATTAGGATATTAAGGTAAGTAATTTACTAAAACTAAGGAACCGGAAAACAAAATCAGAGAACAGGAAGCCTGGCTCTGCCTATTACCTACCTATTTAAGATAATCTAGCTAGCTAAGCAGTTTGTTTACTCTCTGAATTCACAATTTACACCCAGTGCCTCTGCACATTTATGACCAGGGAAATAAATTCTTCTTTCTAAGACCATGGTCTCTATCCCCTAGTGTTAAGTGTGGTTGTTCCTTGTTGAATCAGAACTCATGGCAGAGATGATATCTTTTATTAGACCAACTAGATATTTGCAAAAATAAAATTATTTATTTGCAAGCTTTGCTTGTTTTTACCTTAGGGAGATAATGTATCACTAACTACAGGATGTGCTGGACAGGGTAAGTATCAATGAATTTGATTCACATATTACTGTAAAATTTAAAGACTTTAGTTGAAGGTACAACTCTGCCTAACTGCTTTTGATACCACTCCCTCTGCAGTGCCTTTTTTTCACCTCCCTGTCACTTTGTGGTTTAGGGAAAGAGTGGGTTAAATGTAGAGCAGCATAATGCAAAAGTCATTCACTACCCTGGTAGAAATATGTAGCGTGTTTGTTTTTTCCCCCCTTTTACAGCCATGAATACAATTACATGACACAGAGCTTAAAAGTCTGAGATATACCATAAATAATACCCTTGTCTCCTGGTTACATGGTTTTGTTTTGGTTTTGTTTTTTTTCTTTTTCTAAATTATGGACTGGATGCTACGTTCTCTGACCCATAAAGTCATTAATCTTTTTCACTTATTTTAAATTGACAAGCTATGTAATAACCACTGGCACAAGAAATGAGCAAGATTATATTGTATTTGATTTCCTTATTTCATTTTGTTTTCTGCCAATTCCTGAAGGATGTCTGGCCCAAAAGAGCAACCACCCTGCCAGAACTAGTATTCCATGAAACCTTAAGAAGGCTGGCAGGCAGGGTTCTTTGGGTAGATGCAATATCTTTTATTAGACCAACTGAGTAGTTGGAAAAAAGTTCTTTGCAAGCTTTTAGGCACAAGCACCCTTCTTCAGGTATAGGGAGTCTCTGTTCTGAGATCTCCAAGGAATGAAAGAATCTGAAAAGAAGGCTAAAAAGAAGGCTGGAGGCTTTGACCCTGACTTTTTTATCTATACTCATAATGGATGCAGCAGACACGTGGTTGTATTCAAAATTTTCCCTATTTAAATAGAGACATATATACTGGGTGCATCTACATGAGACACTTAATACCTAGTAGCCTAATAACACTGTGCAGTAGCGTGTCACAGCATAGGCAGTGCTAATATGCTACTGTGCAGTATTATTAGGCTACTACTCAGTATTGTCACTAAAACAGCCGGCACTACTGGGCAGTAACTCTAGTTGAGCATAAAAACTGGATAAGGCACTAACAAGTGTAAGAGAACATAAGCTGCATATACTTCTTGTTGGGTTCATCTACATATGATACTACATTGCTGTAGCAACACGCTACAGCGGGGTGGGCAAAATGCAGCCCAGGGCCTGGATGCGGCCCGCCAGGCCATTCTACCCAGCCTGCGGGGGCCCTAAAAAATCTAGAAAATTAATATTTCTCTGCCCCTGGCTGCCTATCATGCGGCCCTCGATGGCTTGCCAAAACTCAGTAAGTGGCTCTCTGCCCAAAATAATTGGCTGCCTCTGCACTACAGTGATGTAGCATCCACAGTCATCTACACATGACCAGCAGCTACTTCACTGTAGCAACACACTTCCCGGTATAGCGTGCTGCTATGGTAAAGTAGCTACTAAAAATAACCACGCACTGTGTATACGATGCAGTATGGGCTTTTACTGCGCCGTGATTTAGTACTTCCACAAGGCACAGTAACAACATTGCCATAGAGACATATGTAGATGCGCTCATTCAGTCCTATAGCTGGCTGATGAACTAAAGCAAAAACCTCATTTTACCTGTGTTTACAGCTATTGATTTAAATAATAAATGGAGGTATGAGACAAACAGGCAAGGCCTTGGATGAAGAAAAAAGAAAGACTCATATTTAACTGAATCTGAAAAGCAGCAAGAGAAACAGAAGTGAAATAAACATTAACTGTTAAAAGAAAATGGTATTTATTTGAAATTAGTATTTCAAATGGATTCAAACAAGGATTACATTATAGTGACTAGGTGCATTAGAAATGACACCCCCCCCCCCCCCCAAAAAAAAAAAAAGCAAAAAAAAACACAACATCAAAACATCA